CAAATAATTAACAAATAATTCCTAGGTCTAGCAACAGGCAATGGTTACCCCTTCATGGTAACCCCAAACCTAATGTCACCCCACACGATGACCTCTAATGCAAAAAATAAATTACTCTACACATTTATTTCAACTGCAATAATAAAAAGCAAAGAATACGATACGGAGAGGACCACGTCTGAAGGTCCATAAATATCTCGAGACGCGAATTCACCACTTCAGGTCTATTACTATTCATCCTAAAGTCATCAGCAACCACAGCAACACGAAAACAGCACCCGGCACCCGAACGTCCAAGGGCAAAATCGTCCAACTTTCACTGTATTGCTCCAAACTGAAATCTGAAAACACTGCAAGGTCCATCTCGTCATGGGGAAGATTCTGTCTGAAGACCACTTCGCCAGAATCGGACGGACGTACCCTTACGTGTCGTCGTCACGCGTCGCGCCGGTCGGCCACTTGCCGGTGACTTGTCATCCTTCCGGCTTCTTCTTTGCTTGCACAGTCCACCGGTGGTGTCTGTTTTGCCAAACTTCTTTTGGTTTCACCAGAAAACACTAAAACAGATCTGACAGAAAATTTAAAAAATCGAACAGTTTCTGCCTCTGATTTTCACATCCGTTTCTGACCACTTTCAGCTCGTTTTTCGCCCCAAAAATCATAGATTTATCAACAACACAAGCTCTGATACCATTTGTAGCGGAAATCCCTCTATAAATCTTGATTCCGGGCTCATAAAACAACCAAACGAACACCGGTTTATCTTGGCTCGACCCAAGACTTTCGCCTTCACTTTGGATTGTCCAAACTCTCTCAAACCCCACAAAGGAGAAGGGTGGTGGTGTTAGCAATCCACAAAGGTGGAGAGGAAGAAGAACAGTGTTTGAATCTTACTCACAACCTCACATAGCTTTCCTCTCTCTCAGTTGCCTCTCTTCTCTCAACTCTCCTCTCCATTGCTACAACAGACACACACCACCAAAACGGCTAGGAGATAAATACATATATATGTTAGTTTAGGTCACTCCAATTGGGCCTAGGGTTCACTAAGAGGGCTACCAATTATCCTAAACTAATGGGCCAATATTCAACTCCATGTTAATCACTAATTGGTCCAACTAACCAAATAATCATCCAACCCAAACCCGAGCCATCCAAAAGTGTAGTTCGTCTCTTAGCCGAGCCAAGTCCATGGTGTCGATAAATAATCCGACAACTGCTTTAAATCATCACCCAGATTATTGGGTATCAAAAAACCCAACAATTACTCTATATTCAATCAATTGTAAGAACAGAGAAAGGGTATTTTTATTATAAGGAAATTGCAAACTTAATTCTGATGAGTAGTCTATCAATCTCTTAATATGTTCTAGTCATGTATCTCACTGATTATCATTGTGCTCATAATATGAATTGTGTACGCAGCCACATATTCGCACTTCTTTTGACTTCTTATTGGGAATATTTTCTGAAATATTGGTTTCACTTGTTTCAGGTTGGTTACCTGCTTAGCTTGGGTGATCTACATCCAATTAAACCTCTATTGTCAATTTCAATTTTTTTTTTTTTTAACGAAATCAATTTTTTGAAGATGTACACTGCATTGCAAAAGATTCACTTGGACAAGGATGCTGAGCCCACAGTTTAAGGAGACTATCGCTCAGGTCGTCACCCCATAGAAGCTAGTGGATTCGTCTACTTTATTCAGCCATTAAATTTCTATGAATGCAATTTGTGATGGTTTAACCTTCTTGGTGTGTATGCAGGCTCTGTTCGACTTGGAAACTACAAACCAAGGATGAAGAGTGACTTGAAAGATCTTTACATCAACGATACAATGTAAAAGTTATCTTGATTAACACTTATTCTATGCCCAATCACCATTTTGTTGCATGTTGATCATCACTCCATTTTATATTGTGCAGGTAAATTGATGATTCAGGAGAAAGAAGGTTCTTGTAATCCATATTTGTTATTTCTTAAGAAAGCTTTCCGCAAGATTCTTTATCTTAGACTAGTAAGAGCTTGAGAAGAAGTTCAGCGGGAAGCTATATAATGCTGCTACTATGATGTCATGTTAAGGATTTGCTCCATTTATCTAACCAAAATTGCAATACCCCCTTCCCCAACTTTGTTCAGAAAGGGAAAAAATAAGGGAAAAAACTTAATCTTCACTTACCAAGTAGGGGGATGCAACTTTTTCTACCTTTCCACTTCTACATAACTTTGATCAATCTATTAAGATATTATTTGCACTTGTCTTGTGTTAATAATACTTAAATGGTGTTGTTTTGCGGATGAATGCTAGTGATGTTGCCAAGGCTAGTAAGATGAAATAAATTTCCGTGATTTTATGCTTTCCATTTTGTCATTTTTTTCGTTTTCTCTTATTAAATTTTATTAGTAATTGTTATATATGCAATGACAATTATCATTTTGTAGCTACTATTGTTTCTTGTTAATTTTGTTATTTTCTCCTGTGCATTTTTTTTATATTTATTAATTTAAAACAACTTATTAGATATAGCAACTAACATGTGGTTGTTGAAAATTCAACTAAACAATTAGTCAAAATATTAGCAGCGACCAAATATTAATTGTTAAATGTCTTTAGTGGTTTTTATTTAAAACTTGACAAAAATGGATTTTGGTTGTTAAATATCTTTCTGCAATAAAATTTTGGTTGTTAAGTGATTATAAAAATAAAAAATTGCCCATTCATTGACCAATGATTGGTTTGTGATAGGTACTATTTTTATCAACTATTCTTCATGGACCAATATTTGATAGGGATATCAAAAATACTCGTTAAACTCGATACTCGTGGGGTCTCGTCTCGAACGGGGCGGGGATTATTCGCTTCATCGGTCGGGTATGGAGTGAGGAATTCCTCCGAGGCAGGTATGGGTAACAGAGCCCTGCCTCGCTTAATTTTTTTTTATTTTTTTTATGAAGAATTCAATATTTTAAATGGAAAAACTCCATGAAATTTCATTTATTCTAATAGAAGATGGCAACTAAGATTGTATAAGGAATATGATAAATAATAAGAATTTTAGTTAAATATATTTGAATAATTTAACTTTTAAAAATAAATTACTTAATTAAAAAATTTAATTATTATAGCCTCAATTAAAGGAATGAGAGCAATAAATAAATTATTAAAAATTAAATGGGTACATAAATGGGACAATCACCCAAACCTGTCCCGCCCTACCTCAAACTAGTAACGAGTCAAGTAGTGGACGAGAAAATGCCCCGCAGGGTGGGGATCCCGTCCCACCCCAAACCCGTCCCGTTACCAACCTTAATATATGGTCGTTAATGGTGCACCTTCATTGAACAAATATTGGGTGCTAAAAATTCACAATAGATTTAATTGATGCTTTTTACCGACCATAGTTTAGTTGGAAAAGTGTGCAAATCTACTAGTTTTTTACAATTATTAGTTGCCAAACCAAATCCTTTACCAACCAAAGTTAGGTTACTGAATGTTCTAGAATCAGCGACCAATTATAAGTTGGCCGATAAAGACATTCATCTATGGTGAATTAGGGACCAACTAGCAACCATGGTTTTTTGGTCTCTGAAGATCCTTTCTGACCAATACTTTGAGGGCTCCAGAACTAATCATCATATACCTTCACCATATCTAGAATTTTTCTATTCACTCTTTCAGTTACTCCATTTTGCTATGGAGAAAAGGGACAATTTATATCTTAGAATTCCATTTTCTTTACAACTCATGTCAAATTCAGTATTGCAAAATTCTAAACCATTATCGATTATAAGGATTTTAATTTTCTTTCCAATCTGATTTTCAATCAAAGTTTTTCAAGTTTTAAACTTTTCAAAGCTTTAAGATTTTTGCTTTAATAAAAAAAAATCCATATTTTTCTTGAAAAATCATCAATCAAGGATAGGAAATATTTATTTCCCTATTGAGTGACAATAGATGAAGGAATATACTAAATAATGGAAGTAGTCTTATGTTTTCCATTATTAAAGTGGAGTCTATAATGTTTGCCTAAGATGCAATGTTCACAGAAAAGGTACTTTTGAAATAATAGCAGATTAATATTTTTTTTCTTATTTTGTGTAGTTAACATTGTTAATGTGTATTAAGATCATAACCTGACCATAATTATAACAGCCTTCGTTAGGAATTCAATTTTTTCTACTAAAAATGTTAATTTTTAAAGTTAAACATTAATTTCTACCATGCATTACTTAGGACCTTCAAGAACTAACCACTTATCCATCACTAATTCCCAAAAATCGCATTATAGATTATACATTTTTTAATTTTCGTTGTCTTAATTTGTTGACGGAACCAAGACTACAAGCTTTTCACGCATGAGTTAGGTGGAGGAGTTTGGGAGAGTTTTGTAATCCCTCACGAATTGGAAACAAGCTAGAACTATCTGGGTAAGGGACAAGGATGGGTTCTTCGGGGATAACAATATTTTGGTTTGCATCAACGAAAGAAGATGGATTGAAGATGCCGTGTTATTGATATTCATTTAGATAAAACGTACTTTTCTTAATGAGTGCAATACTATAGTGCTTTGCCTAATTAACCGTTACAAACTTTTGGATTTCCAAGTGTCCAAATCGCCAAAACAAGTCACGGGTTCAATCAGTTTTGGTTAATGATTCGGTTTAGTAGCTGGGAATTTCTTGGTTTACAATATAGTTCATTTTGAAGCACTACCGGGACCAGTTTTATGGCAGATTTTCAATTTTCTTAGTCGAAATAATCTCCGTCGAGTCCTGTTTTATCAACGCAGGTTTTCGTTGTTCCTATGTGAGTTTTCATCTTTGCTCAATCCGAACTCACCATGACATATCAACTCCTCAAAAAACTTTTACTTTTTTCTGTAAAACTCGTCAAGATTTGGTAGAATGCACTACTAATTTACAAAGAAATTTGTGCAAAATGTTTGAAGGCAAATTCGTGCTCATGACAATTTACTTCCAAAACGTACAAATTTATTTTTGCATAATTTACGAATTTAAGTGCATGGGTATCTATAAGTTTCATTTATTTTACCACAGTTCGTGCACAATTTGATTTGAGGGTATCAACTTTTATAGTTTCTTGTTGATTGTGAACGCTCAAACATGTTTTTTTGCTAAATTTAGCGCTGTTTAATTCGTGTCTAAGGCCTACAAAAATATAAATACAAATAATTCGGCACCCCAAAGATCTTTCGTTACACAATCAAACTCGACTCCAAATTGAGCATGTCAAAGTCGACTCTGAATTGAGCATCGGAGTCAAGTTGGATATGACTTGTTAATTTGGGACTAAGCAATGGACGAACTTATACACTTAGAATTTATGGTATTAACATGCTCCAATAAATTGTTCACTTTAAAAATATTATATTTTACATTACTAAAATTTGCTTTTTGAATAAATTTGAGTACAAAATCAAAGATCTGCAATCAAGTAGTTTATTTTGGTTGTGCCATGAAAATAATCATTAGGTTTGAAGAAATGCATCAGAGTGAAACTTTATTAATTACACCATGAATTCTTCCGCGGCTGCTTGTGCTATCCCACCACCGTATCCTGCACCAAATCCAAATCCACTACCAGATCCTCCACCCAATCCGCCTCCGCCTCCGCCACCAAAACCTCCTCCTCCTCCCTGAGCACCTCCTCCAAACCCACCACCAAATCCTTCTCCGAAACCAGAACCACCCCCTGTTCCTCCTCCTCCACCTCCACCACCACCTCCACCCCCACCGCCACCTCCTAAATGATGAAAAATGAATTTTGCATCATCGAAAGAACCGTCTGAGCCTACTAGCTTTCTCGCGGTGGTGGTGCAAATAAGAACACCAAGAAGAACCAAGAGAACAAATTTGGAAGTCATCTCAATATGCAAGGAAAAGATAACTTTGATGATGAGAATTTAGGACACGAAGACGTGATTATATAATGCTTGAATACCATTTATTTGCATTAAAGTTCATGCTTGAATTAATGTGTGAGTTAGTGGAGGTCTCATTAATTTGACGGTTATTAAGTAAGTACTAGTGATTTAATTTATTTTTTTATAGTTATTGATGTTTATATTCCTTAGTGGTTTATACACGTTTTCAGATCTTTCCAGGCGTTTGGCTGTTTATGAAACTCGTTTTAATTCATATTTAATAGTTCAACAATTCAGATTACACAGTTACGTAAATTTCCATTCCAATTTTCATGGGTTGTTTTTCTTAAGTTACCCAAACTTTTACTTTCCAGTTTTCCTTCCATCGTTGTTAATGCATCCCTATTTTTTTTTTTTTTTTCCAAAATTGTATATAAAGACAGATGGTGGTAAAAGTAAATGAATACCCAGATAACAACAAGAAACTC